CTCCCCTTCCAAATATAGAAGTATGCAAAGTAAAACAGACCTGTAAGACAGAAAAGAGAGTACCAGAGATACAGCTGCAATAACAACACACACACACACACACACATAAAAAAAAAAAAAAAGAAGTAAAAAGAGGCAATAATCCAGTTACAAAACTTCCAAATAAAGAGGAAATCAAATAGATTTCAACAAAATAAAAAATTTTAATAAATAAAATTAAACCTTATTGTAACTCTAAAACTAGACCAACCCTTACCCCTAACACTAACCCTAGACCTAACCATACCCTAACAATAAATGAAATGCTAGGCCTAGCCAAGTTCTAACCTTAGTCCCAACCCTAACTCTCACTCCTTACACATATCCACACACACACACACACACACACCCAAAATTGGGGTGCAGCCTTTGGAACCCAAAATCCCTGTACACTGAACTTTCTTGATACCAGGAAATAAAGAACGGTGGCACTAGAGGAATAGTAAGAAGACGCAGCACCAAAACCATCAGACAGAGCAATGGGCTTCCCAGGCCATGAAGTGAGTAAAACTGAATGCCTTCAGGTAGGAGGTTTGCTTGCAAAGTGGGTGGCCTCTAGGGACTTAACAAGGGAAGCTAGGTTTGAGGACCCATGGAGCTAAAAGTGAGCACCTTTGAGCTAAAATTACTTAAAGCAGAATGAAGTACTCTTTCAGCATTTATCGACAGCACTAAAAGAGATTTGTAACATTGCCTGAGCATGGCAGAGACCAAGGGGCTGTGTGTGACGAGATACTGAGGACCAGAGAGAGATGTGCCTGTAAGCATGGCTGAGAAGAGATGCTCCTAACCAAACAACTGTATCCTGAGCATTTCTGACCCTGTTAAATTCCTTAACACACCCCATAATCATGAGTATTATTTTTGAGTTCTGTGTGGCCATTGTAATGAACTCTTAAACCCAACAGAGAGTGCCTTGGGAGGGATGATTGGTGTCAGAATTCGTAGGAAAGGCTGGAGGGTGAAAGCATGTCTAACCTCTATCTCATAGGAATTGCCTTCGGATTGATGCTGACCTTGATTCTCCTTCTCACTCGTAAAATCAGAGAAGGACAGTCTCTTCCCTCACAGCATTTTTACACTCATTATCTAACATTTCACATTTACAATAGTACAAAATCTGCAGTCTGACTAGTTGGTGTATTAACAACATATGTCTGGCAATAACAAACACCAAGATACTACGCTGGCTATGATTGTTAAATTTATGTGTAAATTTGGCTTGTCCATGATTCTCAGAGGTTTGACAGTTATGTATGTTATAATTTGGCACTTACGTAATGGTACAGTCATCCTCCATTTTTAACCTGATGTAGGAATCCTCCATTTTCACAAAATGTTGATTTTCATAGAACCTAACCATCTCAATATTACATGCAAGTAAAATTTTGCTGAAGATAATTTAAAAATGGCTGCAACCATACATTGAAAGAGAACTTCCTGAGATTCAAGCCAGATTCAGTAACGGCTGTGGAATGAGAGCTATCATTGCTGACATTAGATGGATCTTGGTTGAAAGCAGAGAATACCAAAAAGATGATTACCTGTGCTTTTTTGACTATGCAAAGGCTTTTGATTGTGTGGATCATGGCAAGCTATGGACAGCATTGCAAAGAATGAGTATTCCTGAACATTTAATTGTGCT